TATATATATATATATATATATATATATATATATATATATATATATGGATGCAAATAGACATATGCCCATTTATTTGTGTGCATACATACTTCTGCTGTGGGCACGCATTTCGTTTATTGATCTTGGAGTCGGGGAAGGGAAATTGTAAAGACACTGCACTCCATAAATGCGGGTGTTCATGTCCACACATCTCCGGGGGTCCCAACTCCCATTTTTTTTTGGTTGTTTTTTGCTGATTGCTTTTTTTTTTCCATATATCTTTCCCCGTTCTTTTGGCGTGAGAGGCTTTTTGCCGCGTTTGTCTGCGGTCCTTTGTTTTTCTCGTTGTACCAAGAAGAAAGAGTTATGAAGGGATCTCTGGCGCCTCGTGTTTGGTGTACCTGAAAAGAAGAGAGGTAGAGAGAATGGGAATGATGAGTGCTTGTTCTACGCGGCGCGATAGAGAGATGAATGACGAACAAAAAAAAAAATATTCCTTAGGGCTATTTTTTTTTTTTTTGCCTTCTTGTATTTTGTATTTTGATTTTTTGCCTCCGAGCCGCCATTGATACGACTTTGTCTTTGCTCTCTGCAGATTTTTTTTTTTGCTTTTTTTTTGGGTTCCGTGACAATTTTGAACTGCTGCTGCTGTTTTGTTGCGTTACACCTAACGTTTAACAGCTCGCGACGATACGACTTATGGGTGTCAATGCCCTCGCGCACAGCGTGCCGTCTTGAAGTGAGAGAGACACGTACACGCGTGCTTGTATGACTTTCCCACCGCGCCCAGCGAAGTGCCGTTGGGGCACGGTCATTCCCCCACTATTACTGGGATGTCGCATGTGTTTCATACTGCTTCTTTTGTGAGGGTGGTTCTGGTTCTTACTTGCTTCAGGGCGGTGTGTGTGTGTGTGTGTTCGTTTGAATGAATGTGAGGGTTGAAGACTTTTTTTCTTGTTTGATTACACTTTTCTATGCCGCTCAAACAATGAATAAAAAAGGAACTGTTCCCCCCCCCACCCCCCCATGGTCTCTGTGGCTTGTGTGTGCGTGTGTATGTGGGTTGAGGAAGCGAGGGTGGGAGGTGCCTGCTGTGGATGGAAAATTCGTGTGGTTATCGTACTGCGCACCAGATTTTTTTTCGTGGGGGGGGTTTCCATGCCGGTATGTTTCGTGGGAATGCCCAACCCTTACAGAATTTTTCCCGCCCGCTTTTTAAAAGTTGCAAGGCTTCTGCCAGAGGAAGCTTGTTGATACATACATATAGAATTAATAATAATATTAATAAAAATTAATGCTTGACAAGAAGGCGCCCTTCTCTAAGAAAAAAAAAACGGAAACAGAAATCGTCCACGTTATGGTTTCTTTTGTGACTTGGGGCTTGTGTCGATATTTCAGCGAACAGAAAGATTTACCGCACGCACATGTCTCCTTGTTTCTCCGTTCTTAGATGTCTACAAATATTAATGTTTATTTACTTATAGCATTGTGTTTCTTGTATGTTTTTTTTCTTCTGAGTGCCCTTGTCTGTGTGTTTTGTGGGTTTCATATATTGTGTGAAACGTGCTTCCCGCCACTGAAGCCATGCCGGAAAAATATTGGCCTATTTGCATTTAACAGCCCAGTTGGTGTTGGTGTGCAAATATGTGTTGAGGCTAGTAGCTCTCACTTTAAAGGTGGAGTAGCCGCCCTTCCGAGAGTAAATCTGGGCGGAGGTGGTGGCTGACATCCTGTGCAGAATGAGAGGCGTGCTGGAGAGGATGAAGGAAAATATATTTTTGTTACACAGAAATGGCGAGAGGGAAGAAATCTTTTTTGTTGCTGCTTGAGGTGAATGGGGCGTGGTTACTGTTTGCAATGGAAATGGCAAACCAACAGCAACAAGGTAAGGAAGTAGAGGATGTTGTGGGCAATGTTGTTATCCACTCTTTTCTTCCTCTTTGTTTTGTTGTTTGTGTGCTGGATTGGTGGGTTTCCTTTTTGTATTTTCACGCCTTGTCTTTCCTCCTCCTCTGCGTGTATTGCGTAACTATAGAATGCAACAAAACGGTGACGTGTTTTTTTTTTTTTTTGAAATGTGAAGCAGAAGGAAGAGATTGTTGTGGTACATTTTTTTTTTTGATTTGTTGTTTGTTGTTTGTGCCACGTGGTATTAGGCTGCGGTACAAACCACGAATGGCCATCCGAGTTTTTTTTTTCTTTTTCCTTTGTTCTCTCGTTTTTATTCTTCTGAATTGTATTCGTGACGTGGTGTGTGGGGTGTGCGCCGCCTCCACCGCCAGTTGGCTCTCCGCGATTGTTTAAATTTATTTATCTTCTGTTCGCCGCGAAGGAACTTGCGCGGCGACGCACGCAGCGCCTCTGTGCGCAGGCTTTTTCTTTTGTTTGTTTGCCTTCTTTCCCCGCTGCTGCCTCTTCTCGACTCATCTCATTGTGGCGTTCACAGGCGGAAGTCTCCACGCTGTTCCAGCTTTCATGTCTGCTGCAAGGAATAGGGGGCTGACGGCGTGAGGGGGCGGGTGGGGCTTGGAAATCGAGGAACACACAGAGGCGGCAAAGGAAATATGTGGACCTCTTGGTGGCCCTCCGACCCAGTTTGAAAGGAAATTAAAGCAGTAATGCTGAGGTTTCGCGCCTCAAGGCGTCGATGTAATGAATTTAATTTTTTTTTTTTGATTCTTTTTTTTTTTGTGGCATTTGTTTATGCGTTTGCTTCCCTAGTCGTTCTTGCTGAAGGGGGATACGTAAGGAAGGAAAGGAGGTAAAACAGAAGGCTTGGAAAGAAATGGGGGTGCCGCGAAAGAAGTTAAGGATTAGACAAAGCAGAAGGGCGCGGGATACAGTTTTTTTTTTTCTTATACACGCATTACATGCGTGTGAGTGTTGGCCTGTGTATGAAGCATTTAGATTGAATTTAACTCTATGGAGCAAGGAAGCGTTGTTTTGGCGTCTCTCCTGCTGCTCCGTTTAAGGGTCTGCTAATAACCCTTTTTTTTTGTAAATATTACTGTCTTTCTGCGTGTGTTTACTTCCTTTTGCTTTAGGAGCTTTTTTTTTTCTTCCTTCTTTTCCTTTTCTTCGCGTTGTGTCCGCTTAGGTCTTGAGGAGAGAGGGGAACGCGAAGCGTTGCTTCCTTTTTGTACTCGATTCCTTGCAACAATGCGGCTTCCTAGTAGTTATAAAGTGGCATTATGTTTTCCTTGGCTTCTTCTGACACAGCTGCTTCTTTTTTTGTTTGCATGTTCCCTGGGAGCTGCGGAGCCGATGCTGGATTGTCGTGAAGTGGGGCTGTTTCGTTTACAAGCACAAGGCGCAGCCGCACCTAACACCACAATCCCAGAAGTGACAAATGGGAACACCAACGCCACATGTCTGCTTCACTCCGGGGCGGCCGTAGTGGCTCTACTGGGCTCACCACAGGGGCGATTTTTAAGCCCCCTGCGGGACCCAGTGCGTCTTGCTGCGCCGCATACTTCATCAGTGGCAACGGAGTCAGGGAAGAATCGGGTTGCATCTTTTTTCCTTCGTATACCGCAATTTGTATCTCGACTTTGTGCCTATCCATGGGCGGATCCAGTTGCTGTGGAGAGGCTTTTCTTTCAGCGTCAGCTCAGAGTTGCTTTTGAAATAAATGTCTCTGCAGGTGGAATGACAAGTCGCAACCAACTCCTTAGTTGGGCGGTTTTTGACCACATTCGCGCCACTTCTTTTGCACCCACAGCGGAGCTGGTAGAAGAAAGAGAGAATGCGTCTACTAGAGAGTTTTGGCTTAGCTGCAACTTTGATAACGTGCTCGAAACCTACCGAAGTGTTTCCAAAAGATCATCGTTTATTTCTAGGATGATCAACAATGGTGGCATTGGCGTCTTGCTTTCCGTTTTCTTTGGTGGCATTGGCTATGCCAATACTATTAGCAATATGGCTCGTGATAATGGCGAGGCGTCTTCCGGGATTTTGACAGCGACCGAAGGGGAAATGATGTATGTTTTTGAGGAACTTGGTCCAAACAGTAGAAATAGCTTGTGGTTGCCTTCTTGGGTGGCAGCATGGCTGGGCACTCGGCCCATGGCATCAACCGAAACACTCTTGCGTGGAACAGAAGGTCGGCCCCAGTTTGTTTACGAGGTTCAATTACCTGTCGCGACTCCAGTCTGCCTGCGTCTGGCACCGGTCCATAATAAAGAGCTTTCTCTGCATGTAGAGGAAGTCCTCGTGTTTGATACCTTTTGGTTAAAGTGTATACTTCTTCTGTGCCTGATCTGGTTCTTGCAACCCTGGGTAGAAGATGTTCCAGCTTTTCAAGTATTACTTGCTGGAGTAGGCGGAATCATTGTTTTGGTTGGATTTTTGCTCATATTTATGTTTCGGAAGCTGCAGAATATGACACTGGGTAAAATTGGTTTGTTAGCACTTGCCACGATGGGTGGTTTCTCTGCGCTTGCCGAAAGTCTTTTGAGTGCGTACGCCGCTTTTCTGTACGCCTATTTTAACTACTATGATAAGTCAGGCCTACTTTTCAACCCCACGTGTGTACTTCTTCTGATAGGTCTGGCCTGTGGCTTCTTCGCGAAGTTCTTTTGGTCGAGTTACCTTTTTTCGCTGACGCGATGGACGTTGCGGTGGATCCAAGTTGGGGTCATCACATGTGCCGCGATGCAGAACCGTGAGGCAACATTTTTGTTTCTATTGATGGCGTTTGTCTTCTACCCGTCCAGGCTGTTCCGTTTCGTCTTGTGGTGCTCGCGATCGTACGGGTTAGAGAACCGAGAAAACGAGCCACAGGAGAGTTTTCCCAGCTTTGCGCGGCGCGAAGTGGCTTACGCGCAGCCTCTCTGCGTCGAGGGCTTTATTGGCGGTTCACGAGTACTTAGCTCGGAAGAGAAGCTCCGCCTGTACGACGCACTTGGGAACGAATACACGCAGCGCGCCCTTGCACATCTCGCGGACTCCGTGAAGGAGGATCCCAGGCGGTATGCGTCGCGCCTGAAGAATCCAAAGGAAGTCATTAGTTGGGCACAACACTGTAAGTAACTTTGTTTTACTTTGTCACACCTCAGAAGCACCCATGGAGTTTCAACTCTTTCGTTTCCCAGTTGCTACGATAAGGCTGTTGGGGGCGGAGTTTACGAGTTAGTTTAATACCCTCGTTTGTGATCATATTATATTTTTCTTTCTTTCTCTATGTGTGTTAGTGCGTGTGTGTCTTTGTTTTTAGATACCCAGTGAAATATAGATATGTGTATGTGCGTGTGTATGGATTAAGTGCATAAAGGAATAAACGTGTTTATTTACTCGTAGGGTAACGGTGGAAAGGAGGATGCAACTTGCGAATGAGAAGGAAAGTGATGCAGGCGTGCAATTGAACATATTATGCATGCTATGGTTGTTATTTATTGATCTGTTTGGGTGTTTGACACCACCTGGAGAAGACATTTAAGGCATGGAACAGGATGAGGAGGATGAGGAGGAGGAGGAGGAGGAGGAGGAGGGAGGGGGG